CCAGGGCATTCTTTATGGGGAGGTGCTGAAAGGCTGATGCCGCTCCAGGCTTTTCATGGGGTTTTGTAATTCTGGAGCTACAAGAGGGCAAAATTCCCCCAAACTTTGCTTCTTCTTCTTTTATTTTTTTTTTTTAATTGATGTATTTATTTGAAAGAGTTACACAGAGAAAGATCTTCCAATCTTCCATCCACTGGTTCACTACCCAAATGGCCGTAATGGCTAGTGCTGGGCCAGGCCAAAGCCAGGAGCTTCATCCGATCTCCCACATGGCTGGCAGAGCCAGTACTCCTATGGAATGCTGGTATTGCAGGTGGTGGCTAACCCGCTGTGCCACACCCTGGCTCCTTCTCTGCTCTTAAATAATGACCTCATCTGGAAAGGTCAGGAAAAGCAAGCAGTTCCTAGCTCCTGCGATAGCTACAGTGTAGGCTGACCTCAGGCTGCTCTCTCAACCTGTCTGGACCTCACTTTCATCATTTGGAAGAACTGTGACAGATGCCTTCTTTATAGGGTAGTGGTACGCTTGCAGGAGACGGAGTGCTTTGCACTGTGCCTTGGGAATCGCAGATGTGCAGTACCTTGTGGCTCTCTGCTATTTCAACCTTCCCCCTTTTCCAGCCTCACTGCTGAGTGAACAAAAGAGAAAATGGCCAATTAAGAGTTTTGCTCCTTCTCCGGGCCCACTGAGGAGGGAGAAGAAAGTACCCAGAGCTTGGCAGGGGCCTCCAAGGGTGTGGCTGTGGAGTTGAAATGGTGGCCCAGAGGTCCTGCAGGGTCTCCCCAGGGTTGTCTAGAGGTAGCAGAGGGGTCTACAGAAAGGGTGAGCTCTTGGCCAGAAACTACCTGCTGACCCACCCCTACCTAGGCTGGGGCCCTCTTATGGTCAAGGGGAATGGGGACGTGGGGCAGGCCTGGCTCACCCAGCCTTCCTTTCCCAGACATGGCCAACCTGTCCCTCCATGACCACGACGGTTCCAGTGGCGCCTCGGATCAGGACACCCTGGCCCCTCTGCCGCACCCTGGGGCCGCCCCTTGGCCCATGGCTTTCCCTTACCAATACCCGCCGCCCCCACACCCCTACAACCCGCACCCAGGCTTCCCGGAACTGGGCTACAGCTACGGCGGAGGCAGCGCCAGCAGTCAGCACAGTGAAGGTGAGGGGCCGAGGCCGGGGAGGGGGGCGGCCGGGAGCCCCCAACTTCCTCCCTGGTGCTGAGCGTCCCTGGCTCTGCCTGCTTGTCCCCTACAGGCAGTAGGAGCAGTGGCTCCAACCGCAGCGGCAGCGATCGAAGGAAGGAGAAGGACCCGAAGGCAGGGGACTCCAAGTCGGGCGGCAGTGGCAGCGAGTCGGACCACACGACTCGTAGCAGCCTGCGTGGGCCACGAGAGCGGGCTCCCAGCGAGCGCTCGGGCCCGGCGGCCAGTGAGCACAGCCACCGCAGCCACCACTCGCTGGCCAGCAGTCTGCGCAGCCACCACACGCACCCGAGCTACGGCCCGCCCGGAGTGCCACCGCTCTACGGGCCCCCCATGCTGATGATGCCCCCGCCGCCTGCAGCCTTGGGGCCCCCTGGAGCCCCTCCGGGCCGTGACCTAGCCTCGGTGCCCCCCGAACTGACCGCCAGCAGACAGTCTTTCCGCATGGCCATGGGAAACCCCAGTGAGTTCTTCGTGGATGTGATGTGAGCAGGGCCCTCCCCAACTTCCATCCTACCCCTCCCTGGCCGGCCAGCCCTTCTCCATTCGTCCGTCTTTTTTACTTTGGTACCTGAAAGGGAAATAAACAAAACTAAACCCAGGCGCGCTAACTGCTCGCTGGCCGCAGCGCAGGCCGGGGCCCCTAACCTGCCTCTGGCCCCAGCTTGTCCCTTTGCCCACTAACCGCTGTGCAGGGTCCTTCCTGTCCAGGGCTCTGGACTCAGGTGCTGTCCCACCCATACACACTTGAGGAGCTGACCCCAGGAGTGTCCTTTCAGTTCCCATTTACCATTGATTCAGCCACGTGGGCCCTTTGCCAACCTGTGGGCTGCTCCCCTCCCCAGCATGTGTGCAGATCTCTTGTCTGTGCCCCACCAAACTGACACCAGAAATCACTCCCCAGTCTGCCCTTCCTAACCGCCCCCTGCCTGTGGCCTCCGTCCAGGCCCTGGAGCTGTGTTTCTCTCCAGGAGCCATTCATGCCTTCCCTGCCTGTACCCCGCTGGGACCATGCCTGCCTGTGTGCTACTTCCTCCAGAGCCTAACCCCACTAACCAGCAGGCTCATTTCACTCCCAGGCCTGAAACGTTTCTTTTCTTTCTTTTTTCTTCCCCCAATTTTTCCTGGGCCTGGAGCAGCCAAGAATTTCGGGCTGTTTGACTTTCTGTGAGCCCCCAGCGAGGGGAGGCCCAGCCTCCGAGGAGACCAGGAACCCTGCTTCAACAGCCCCTCAGGGCTTCCCAAGGATGTCCAGTCCCCACACCCACACCTCAGCACACTGAGTCCCGGGGCTCCTGGGAGGGCCCCAGCGTCCTCCATGCCGGAGAGATGATTCTCCTCTCAAGAGACAGTCTCTCTCTCGTTCTCCCACTTTCTCTCTCTCTCTGTCTTGTCTGTCTCTCTCACACACACGTACCTATGCAAGTTTGCTTAAGCCTCAGGGCTGGTCCCTGCCCAAAGGGCTGGACCCTGTGCCCCAGTCCTCCCCAGGCTGGGGCTGGTCCCCTAGCCTCCCACACACATCCCCATGTCCTCCTACATGGATAAAGCCTGTGAGCTGGGTCTCAGGCTGAGCTCGGCAGAGGACTCCCCTGTGACTGACTGACAGGCCATTCTTAACACCCACAATGCCCACCACATTCACCCCGACACCCCAGGGCACAGCCACAGGGGCCTACAGGCCAGCTATGGATTCACAGGGGTACTTCTGAGTGCCAGGTTTTCTTTTTACCTTATTCTCCACTTTAAGCAAATCAGGTCTTTTCTCTCTACGCCTCTGCTATAAATCCTGGCTCATCCAAGCTGCCATATTTTCAGGGCTGGGATGTCAAGAGTAAGGTGAAATCATTAGCTTCAAGCTTTGCAGCTAAACAAGGTAGGGACATTTTGGCATTTATTGCTTTACAAATCCTTCCTGGAGTTTGTTGAGCAAAGGGCTGGGTTGGAAGTGTGAGTCAGTCCTGCCTGCTTTCTGGGAGCTCTGGATTTGCTCCTGACTTAGGCCAAGGCTTCTTCGAGCCACCACCACAGGACTGTTTTCTGTACTGTTTGCTTCAACTCTTTTAAGAATTCCTCCACTATTGCTCATGACTTTGTTGATGTTTCTGTTACTCCATCCTTGGTCCACTTCTCTTTCCTACCCCCCCCCCAAAATGGTATCATCCATCCTGATATCCTCAATTGCTGCTGGTATGCTGGTGATTCCCAGATGTGTAGCTCCAACCCCAGCTTCCCCCAATCTTGGCAGAGTATTTTTATTACCCCCTGGACATCCTATGGACATGTCTACATGAACTCAACTCATGTCCCCAGTCAAATGTGTTCCTCCTGCGGTCTAGTCCTGATTACCTTCATTGTGACCTACATAGACTCACCAGCTAGGAACATTTATAGGCTTAAATCCCTTCCCATATCTTACTAGTCATCGTACCATATCCATTGCACCCAACAGTCTCTGGAATTTGGCCCTTTCTCTCCCCTCTTCCTCTACTTTAATTCACCGGAGCATGGGGTTTGGACTCTGGTTGTTCTGAGTCTGAATTCCAGCTCTACTACTTTTTGATTGCGTGATAGGAGAGTTATTTAACCTCTCTGAGCCTCAGTTCCCTCATATGTAAAATGATAATAATACCTACCTCACAGGGTTGTTGTGAGGATTTAAATTAGATATTGTACGAAAAGTGCCTAGCACAGTGCATGGCACAGAATAGAGTAGGTGCTCAATAAATGGTAGCTATTATTATTATTATCATTTACCATTATTATTTACTCTTAAGTTGGTAGGAGTTTAGGATGTGTTTGGAAGATAAAGCTTTTACAAAGGCAGGCATGAAGGATTAAATGCCTTCAGGCTGTGAGGGAGGTCAGATCTTCAGCCTACTACATACTGTCGTCTGGCAAGAGACTGCTAGAGACAGTAAGGTTTACAACCAGGTTTGCCCCTCCTTGCCCCTCCTTCCCATGACAAGCTGAGTCCTCCCAAGGAAGTCATCAGAGTATCTGTCTACAGAGAGAGAAGAACTGTTTCTTACAGTCCTTTAAGCACCAGGCAGGCCTTTTCATATTTGAAGGCTGGCTCTGTTTCTTCCTTTCACCTTAGATGTGAAGATGAATTCTGCATCCTTTGGCCAACTAAGTTCAACTTGCCAACATTTTCTAGGAAATGTATGCTTGTCACTAGAAGGTGCACACACAGAACGCTGGCACCCTCATGAAAAGCTTTAGCTAATAGCTTTCAAGTTTGCCTCCCACCTCCTGCCCTTCTGATCCCCAGAGAATGAGGCTCATGTCTGGAACAGATATATAAAAGCTTGGGGGAATCAGAGGTGGTGTTAGAAAACAATAAATTCAGCACAAACAGTTCTGCCATGTTGCATGTTTGTGCACAGAGTAAGAACAGCCAGTCCTCGGACTCTGGAGACAGAGAATGTCCTGCAGCAACCTCTGGCTTAGCAGATGGGACCCGACAAACTAATCCTCTGAGATGCTTCAAAACACTGAAATAGGACCGGGGGACAACAAAGACTACAATCCCCAGAATGCTCAGTGAGGAAATGAAGTGGGTGGAGCCGCACGTGCCGGGATTTGTTGGGAAGGCTAAGGCCACGCTTCCCAACCCCACCCCTCCATCCCCCCACCCCTCGGCCATACACACCCGCCCCAAGACGGGGGGCGGTCTCAAAGGCAATCGGTAGTTGTAGTCTTTCGAAACCTGTCGGCGTTTAAAATCGCCGGTGAGGAGCCTGACGGGATTTGTAGTCTACGCAAGAGGCGGAGGAGAGCGCGCACGCGCAGCCGAGGCCGGGGCGGGGCCGCGGCACTGCGGTGAAAGCCGAGGCAGCGGGCAGGCGAGCAGGGGGCGGGCGGACATCTTGGGATCCGAAGAGTGGCCGGGCCGGCCGAGCCCTCGGGCCGCGGACGCCAGGTGAGCGGGGGACTTGGCATTTCGGGGTGGGGGACGATGCCGTGGGTCGCCCACCCCGCCTCCCAGCGTTGCCCTTCCCTGCGCGGGGTAGAAAGCTGCCCACACCCGGGAGTGGCCTCAGCCTTCAGACCCGGGAGGGAGCTGACGGCGGGGCGGGGGCGCCCGGGACGCGGTTGCAGGAAGGGCGGGGAGCGGCGCCCTCCACCTGAACCGCCGGGCGCCTCTCGTGATGGGGGAGACTCCCTGGAATCCCCCCGCAGCAGGGCCGCCGCGCGGGCCTCCTCGCTGGGATCGTGACAACCCCCCGAAGCTTTCGGCGCCGCCGCCTCGGCGTAGGGACAGCTGCCCCGTCTCCCGGGGCACGGACCCCTGTGTCTTCTCCTTGGACTGTGACAGGTCTCACACTGGGCAGCACCCCGTCCACTCAGCTCAGTGACAACTCGGTGGCACCATGTCTTCCCGCGATGTCGCTTCCTTGGGGCGAAAAGCCCCACCACTCCTTCAGGCCTCTGCACATGAACCCCAAAGCAGGCTCCGTCTCCCCCAGCTTTCCCTCTTCACCGCTGTCACTCTTCCCTCCCGGCTCTCCCTCCCCCACGCCGTCACCCTGACCTTTTCCGTGCTGGAAACGCTCTCTTTTAGATGCCCCCACCGGGGCTGCTGCAGGTTCACCTGAGTAGCCGCTGGCTGCTGCCACCAGTCTTTTCCTTCAGTGAAATGTGCCGTGGAGTCCAGGGCCCCACCTCTGGTTCTGTGGCGCCCTGAGCTACCTACAACTTGATACCTATGGCCTTGGTCTATGCCCAGGGCTCTACCTCCATTTTGCATTTCTTTCCCTAGCCTCAACCGGCCTGAGGGATGGCGTTGTCGGCACCTTTGGAGACAACTCACTGGCCTGGGAGACCTTGATCTCACAGTAAAAGGCTTTATTTTCCCGTTTATTAAATTCTGCTGACCGACTCCCTGTGAAATTAATACCAGGGCTGATCCAGGAAATCTAGAACCAAATTAACCCCTTTTCTCCAACAGTCTCTATTAGTTTGACCTACATAGTTTGGATAATTCGGGCATTCCGACATGCTTGCCTCTTGCTTGTAGGTGCTCTGGCCAGAAGGGAGCTACTTGGTGCATCTGGAATCACAGTTCCAGCTGGAAGGATCTAGGAACCCATTCCACCTGCCCAGTCCTTATTTTTATTGCACTCTGGGGCCTTTTGAAAGAGGGGGTGTCAGAAATAATAGCTTGGGTCATTGGCGGTAGTCTGCCAGCACCTTTCTCCTCTGTTCTTTGCCTGCTTATCTGATTGCCTGGGAGAAGTTGGAGCCACACTCCCAGGTCCTTGTCAGGGCCTGAGGCCTTCTTTCTCTCCTCCCACCCCCACCCTGCACAGCCTTTCCTGGAATGTTTAGGCTTCTGAGGATTCAGCCCCTGCTGCCTTCCCGAAGGCTGGAAGGAGCCTGAGAGAGGGTGCCTCAGGCCGGAACCAGCTGGAGTGATTGCTACCGCCAGCCAGTCATTCCTGCAGCCGCAGGCGGGCCTTCTCAGTGACTCACTGGCATTAGCCCCAGTGAGAGTCTGTACTAGAGGGGGTTGGAAAGGACCCTTGCTGAGCTCAGCGCTGTGGAGGGGGAGGTGGGAGCTACTCTGGCTCAGCCCCAGAAAAGGGAGGGTCAATGGCCTTAGACTCCTGGGCCCTAGTCTCTCCTGGTTTTCCCCCATCTACAGTGGAATAAACAGGAACTGGAGCCTTGCTGAGGGGAGGGGCGTGCCTGGGAGGGCCACAGGGTCACTTGCTAGAGGGTTGAGTCAGGAAAAAAAGCAAGCCAGTGATCTGTGCAGCCCCACAGGGGCTGTTGGCCAGGCTCCTGAGGTCTTCCCTCGCCCCACCCCTGCCTGTCCTAGGTCTGTTCTCAGAGCGATGGGCCGCCGAGACTGAGCTGCCGCCATGATCGGAGGCTTATTCATCTATAATCACAAGGGGGAGGTGCTCATCTCCCGGGTCTACCGAGATGACATCGGGTGAGTGCCCTGGCTGAGCCAGCTGTGCCCCTGCCACCGCAGCCCTCCAGCCCCAGCATGCAGGACCAGGTGTGTGCCATCCAGAGGCTTGACTTGGGCCACTCTGTCCCCTCGCTGCATCCTGGAAGCTCAGCTGCTATAGCCCGGGTCCCAGCAGGTCTGACATCCAGCTTGCCGGCCACTAAGTGGGACCTGAGCAGTGGCGTGGCTCCCGTAGCCCTTCCTCCTCCCATTTCCCCTGGTTACGAGCCTGGTTGTAGGAGATGAGTGCCGTCTCCCAGGCAGGCAGATTCCTCCCTTAGGGAAGTGGAGTTAGTGACCAGGCTGCAGGTACTAATCCTTCTGCGTCTTGCTCTCAAAAGCTCTCATGCTGAGCGCCTGCACTGGATTCTCTTGAAAGCCTCTCTAGGCTGCCGACTCCTCTCCCACTCCCTTTCTTAGGAGGTGTCAGGCTGCTGATTCAGCTGCTTTCGGTTCCTCTGGAAGAGAGGTTGTGAGCAAACTTGAGGCACTTCCAGGCCATTGCGGGAAGGGCAGGGAGGCCATGCTGTCCTTTCTGGTCCATAAGGGAAGACTCTGAGCCGCTCCATGTCCTGGGACCCTTAGAACCTCGGTGCCACAGCCTTACTTCTCATTCTGCCCCACCCTGCATGGCACTGTTCCTTCCTGGCTGAGGGGCCCTCTCCCCACCTCAGCAGCTCTGATGAGATTATGCTCCTCTTGTTCCTGCTACCTTGAGAGCAGGGACTTCCTCAAAGAGCTTGAGATAAATAGTCAGGAAAATGGGCCTGTAGCAGTGCCCGGCTTCTTGGCTCCCTGGCTGATGGGCTGGCCTGGCCTTTGTGGCTGTTTGCCCCTTACCTGGTGGCACGGCATGAGCTAGACTTGGGGGCAACACCTGGCCTGTGTGACCTGGCTGGCTGGACCTGGCCAAGCCGGGGCAAGGTCACACACTACCTTGCATGCCTTGCTGTGCTCTTATCCCTTGCCTGTCTTGTCTGCTGCCACCTCATGGTGTGTGCCGTCCTCCCAGTGTGTCGTGTGTCTAACCCTCTCTCTCGTTGCTGTCACTCTCCTCTTCTTGCTGGCGTCATTTCTCTCATCCCATCTCATTGGCTGCCGTAGCAATAGGTAAGGGGCCTGTCAAGCTGCTGCCCAGGTACAGGTGGGTGGGGGACCTTGCCCACCCCACCCCCACCCCTGTAGTCCTTCATTCCTTGAACTTGTCCTGGAGTTGGATCCCAGACAAGAACGGGTGGCACAGCTCCATGGTCCCATGGTACTTCTCCCGCAGAAGGGCAGAGCCTTCTCCAAACTCACGCTTTGTGTAACTTCTAGAGGCGTCAGCTTTGCCCACTGCAGGGGCTGCTAGTGGGAGGACTAGAGAAGAAGCAGGCTCTCATTCTCTCATTCTCTCTTGTCCTGGAACTTACCAGGACGCTAGAGGTGGCAGCTGGTTATAGGTAGGAAATTGGAAGCAGGCCTAGCAGTCAGGGACATGGCTGCCCAATCTGAAGAGCTTTAGTTTATTAAGCTTACGTCTGCCTTCCTGCACTGCCTCTTCACTTCCCTGTTTCTCATGGTCTTTGGCCCAGCTCAGGCCACCTCCTGTGCCCCACTGGTTCCCTGCTGGTGTAGGCATTGGCTATAGACTGTGTGACAGACTTCAGCTGTGAGGAGGGTGGGGCTCTCAGCAGCTGTGGTTGGTCCCTGAGGTTTGCCTGAGCAGTCCTGTGCACCCTTTCCCCTCAGGAGGAATGCAGTGGACGCCTTCCGGGTCAATGTTATCCACGCCCGGCAGCAGGTGCGCAGCCCCGTCACCAACATTGCTCGCACCAGCTTCTTCCATGTTAAGCGTTCCAACATCTGGCTGGCAGCTGTCACCAAGCAGAATGTCAACGCTGCCATGGTCTTCGAATTCCTCTATAAGATGTGTGACGTAATGGCTGCCTACTTTGGCAAGATCAGCGAAGAAAACATCAAGAACAATTTTGTGCTCATATACGAGCTGCTGGATGGTAAGGCCAGTGGGGCTGTGGGCCTAGGGTGGGGATGAACCCGACTGGGCCCAGCCTGGTAGCGGGAGCTGGGTGGAAGCTGCGGTGCATGCTGAACTTTCTGGAGTGTCTGCTCTCTCGGGCTGGGATTAGGCCAGTTCAAATCCAGGCCTAAAGGCTGCCCTGAAGTGGAACACAGAAGTAGGCCAGCAGGTGGGGGCTGGGGAAGTTTCAGCTGGAACGTGACTCTGGCTTCCGTGCCTGGACCTCCCGTATTCTCTTCCTTCCTTGGTGGTTTGCACCTTCGTTCACCTCCTCCCAGCTCTCTCTCCATCTTGGCAGCTGCTTTGGAGCCTGGGAAAGGGCGAGGTGTTACAGGCCCCTTGGGGTGCACTGCTACCTCTGTTTTCTGAAAGGTGTGCTCTGCACATGAGCCCTCCCACTTTCCCATCATCTGTTTTCTAAAGAAAACAAGGTCTCAGCCTTTTGACCTCTGACCCACTGGGCACGTGACACTTCTGCTGATTTCTTTACTTGAAAAAAATCAAACACTGTCCTGTTTTCTTACAAAGCACAGAACCCAGGGTAAATGCTGCAAAGCTGAAGGGAGGATGCTGTGAATGATTCTCCAGGGTCTTTGCCAGCTTTGCTGGCCAGACGTGTCCAGGCCAGGGGAGGGACTAGAATGAAGGCACCTTCAGCTCTGTCCAGGGCCTTATGATTCCCTTCCTTTTGCAGAGATCCTGGACTTTGGCTACCCACAGAACTCTGAGACAGGCGCTCTGAAAACCTTCATTACCCAGCAGGGCATCAAGAGTCAGGTACTCACATTGTACAACCACTGTTGGGGTGGAACCCAACTTCCCTTCATGCCAGCTGGCCCCAGCCTTGTCCGAGCTGACTCATGAGTCCGCCCTTGACAGGAAGTACTGGCTTGAGCCTCCTGCCATGACTGTAGTCCTCTTTTGTCCATGTGGCTCTCCCCACCGCCCAGGCAGGAGCAGCTGACTCAGCATCTCTGTTACCGGGAATGCATCTCAAGCAGTTTCTTCCTGCACTGGGGGCAGGGGTGGGCTGTCTAGAGGAGCATGCTGGGCCTGCTTCTAGGATCCAGGCCTCATGGCCTTCTCCTTCTTTTCTGCCTCTCCTGCGGCTTCGTGTGGGCGCCTTGTTGGTCCTGCGGCCTACAGCATCAGGTAAGCCGTCCTGTATGTCCACCCTTGCAGCTTTGCGCTGTTTCTGCAGGCCTTGCACCATGCAGCAGGTGGAGACTAGAAGGGAGGAGGGATGAGGCTGCAGTGGGGACCCAGACAGGAGGATTAAAAGGAGAGAGGAGTGAAACCTCTGCTGCATCTCTGCCTCCACTTAGACAAAAGAAGAACAGTCCCAGATCACCAGCCAGGTGACTGGGCAGATCGGCTGGCGGCGAGAAGGCATCAAGTATCGCCGGAATGAGCTCTTCTTGGATGTGCTGGAGAGTGTGAACCTACTGATGTCCCCACAGGGTGAGGGCCCTCTTATGGGACAGCCAGAGGAGGGGCCAGGGCAGGATGCAGAGCCTGCCTGTTTGACTCAGCTGCTCCCATTTATCTGTTTGGTCACCAGGGCAGGTGCTGAGTGCCCATGTGTCCGGCCGGGTGGTGATGAAGAGCTACCTGAGTGGCATGCCCGAGTGCAAGTTTGGGATGAATGACAAGATTGTAATTGAAAAGCAAGGCAAAGGCACAGCTGATGAAACAAGCAAGAGGTGTCTGATTCAGGGGAGCAGTGGGAAAGGGCAGGCCTTAGAGGGCTCAGTGGGGTCTGGGGGAGTTCTTTCTCAACTTCATTTCTGTTGTAATCCTACTGTCTTCCCAAGGGTGTGCTTGGCTAGTTGCTCTTGACACCAGTTCTAAGAGCAATGAGAGATGAGGGGTTTGTCTACCCTGCTCTCGTCAGAGGACAAGCCCTTTGGTGGGTCTTCAGGACCGAGCTTGCACCTGCTGATGCCTCTGCCTGGTGTGCCTGAAACACCCGAGTCCTGAGCAGCAGCATCTTGAGGGGAAGGGCATGCAAAGCTCCCACTCATTCCAAACTCAGGCAGGAAGCTGCATTTGGGCTTCCGTAGTCTGTGGTGTCAGCCTTGGGTGGTTCCCCAGCATGACAACTGCCACTCTCCTGGGCCAATGAGATTTCTTTTGCCCCAACTACAGCGGGAAGCAATCAATTGCCATTGATGACTGCACCTTCCACCAGTGTGTGCGACTCAGCAAGTTTGACTCTGAACGCAGCATCAGCTTCATCCCACCAGATGGAGAGTTTGAGCTCATGAGGTGCCACTGGGGTGCTCCTGACAGAGTGGGGACAAGGAGGGAAGGGAACAGCTCTCTGGTGCCAACCTTGATCCCCCTCCCCAAAGGTATCGCACCACCAAGGACATCATCCTTCCTTTTCGGGTGATTCCGCTGGTACGGGAAGTGGGACGCACCAAACTGGAGGTAAAGGTGGTCATCAAGTCCAACTTCAAGCCCTCACTGCTGGCTCAGAAAATTGAGGTGAGGGCAGGGAGCTTGGGGAGGAGGAAGAACTTGGCTCCAGGAATAAAGGCAGCTAATGTCAAGGCCTGATCCAGCTCCCTGACAGATACATCCCTTTCAGGTGCGGATTCCAACCCCACTGAACACAAGTGGTGTGCAGGTGATCTGCATGAAGGGGAAGGCCAAGTATAAGGCCAGTGAGAACGCCATCGTATGGAAGTGAGTCTTCATGAGGTCCCAGCAGGGATCGAGATGCCACAGTGTACTCTCTTGTTAGGTTTTGCCTCTCGTCCTCTCCAGTGTGTGTGGGGGAGGGTGAAAAGTGTGCCTACTTGCGTCCCAGGAGCCTCTGCTTGTGCTGTCGGCCCTTGCATCCGTTGTGTATCCCATGCCTACACTTGGTTGTGCATGCACTTTTCAAGATGCTTTAACGTTTCTCCACTTGCCCCTGTCATCTCTCTGTGAAACAGAGCAAAGGATATCATACACGTGTATTTAAGCAGGAACTGCAGCCATAGTGCTAAAGGAGTAAACAGATGCAAGGTTCCATAGTGGCTCTCAGGGTCCTTCCGCAAGCTCCTAGACTCTCTTCCTGCTTGAAATGAATAACCGCCCTTGAAATTCTTCCAAGCTACCACGGGCACTTGCTGCCCATCATCTCTGTGTTCCCAGGATCAAGCGCATGGCAGGCATGAAGGAATCGCAGATCAGCGCAGAGATTGAGCTTCTGCCCACCAATGACAAGAAAAAATGGGCCCGACCTCCTATTTCCATGAATTTTGAGGTATGGCAGAAGAGGGACCTACAGCCATGGCAAGGTGTGCTGGGAAAGACTTGTTTGTTTATTTGAAAAATAGTGTGCCAGAGAGAGGTGGGTGGGGAGGTGGGGCTTGGATCCAGAGTGAGATAGCTTCCATCTGCTGGTTCACTTTCCAAATGGTTATGATAGCCAGATCTGGACCAGGTTAAAGCCAGGAACCCAGAACTCTATCCTAGTCTCTCATATGGGTGGCAGGGGACCAAGTAGTTGGCCCGTCATGTGCTGCCTTCGCAGGCACATTAGCAGGAAGCTGGATTAGAAGTGGAACAGCTGGCACTTCAGTCTAGGATGCTCGCATCACGGGTGGCAGCTTTAACCCACCATGCCACAGTGTCAGCTCCAGATCTTGGAAATCATTCTGATCTACCTCTGTGCCTTAGGGCTGAGGAAACTGAGGCCTAGGAAGAGGAAGTGACTAATTCATAAACCTACTTCTTCTGCCTTCAAACCTCTTAATAGAAAATGTTATTGAACTGAGAAAAATCTGACTTCTCTTAGCTTGTAAAACAATTCTTTTGGGAAAATTTTGATCATCTGAATGCCAGGTAAGACACCAGCTTTACCTATAGACAGGCTAGTGAGCTGACTTTGCCTTGAAGTTGTTAACACGGAGCAGCGGAAGTGTGTTCTAAAGCAGTTCTTTGGTCACTGTCTCCTGCTGACTAAAGGAATTGATTCAAGTTATCACAGGCCTGACTTCAAACCCAAAATGCCTGCTAGTTACTCTTGGGATACACTTTCTTCTTCAGTACTTCATGAGGGCTCCTCACCCCTGGTTTCCCCCGGCTTTCAAGATCCACTCATTTCCATACCTATAACAGAGATGAGGGAGGGAAGGCAGGGCTATGGAGCTTCCCAGAGGAGAGCAGCAGTGAGAGGAAGGCCACATTCCTAACTGGAACTTACCTGCGCAGGTGCCATTTGCGCCTTCTGGCCTCAAGGTGCGCTACTTGAAGGTGTTTGAACCGAAGCTGAACTACAGCGACCACGACGTCATCAAATGGGTGCGCTACATTGGCCGCAGCGGCATTTACGAGACCCGCTGCTAGTTGCCTGTGGCAGCTAGCCCACTCCCCTGCCCACCCTCTGCCATGGGTCCGGATGCCCCCGGCCACCACACATCAGTGTCTCCTCCCTCCCTCCTGCTTTGCTGCCTTCCCTTTGCACCAGCCCCCGAGTCTAGGTCTGGACCAACCACATGTGAGCTGGACAGGTGGAGCAGTCCCTGGGCTCCCTGGGCAGGGTGGTTTCTGGGGCTCTTGCTCTTCCATCCGTCCGTCTGTCCTGGCCTGAGTGCCAGGCTCTGAGTTCTGTGACCAAAGCCAGGTGGGCCCTCTCTCCTCCCAACCCCTGTGGCCACACCTCTGGAGTGGGAGGGTTGGCTGCCCCTCACCTCGGAGCTCCCCCAAAGGCCAGTAACGGATTCCCAGCCCTCAGTCCCTACTCTGCTTTGGGATAGTGTGAGCTTCATTTTGTACACGTGTGACTTCGTCCAGTTATAAACCCAATAAACTCTGTAGAGCGGAGTTGGCCAAGTGTTGACATGGGAGGGGAGCTGGTGGGATTTCTCATACTGCATGCTTTGAGTACAATTTTGAATTTTCTATTCTGTAGGCTCTCAAAGCTCTTCCCCCCTTTTGTTCCCAATGGATAGGCCTCTCCTGGGCCTGTGGAAGCCTAGGTCTTCTGGTTTCTCCAACAGAAAATAGTCTCAAGACCATGCTACCCCCAGGTCCCTAACTCTGAGTCAGGTATTATTTAATTAGCATAGATAAGCAAGGTTAACTTTTGACCCTGCAGCCTTCCTGAGAGACCCCACTTAATTCCAGCCTTGCCAGTTTCCCCAGGCTTTGGTGCCTTGGTGGGCGGAGGGTAAGGAAAGATTGGATTCTGGAGGGGGTGGGGGACACCACTGGGGACTCCCCCTGCTTCTCAGGAAACTTCCTGGATACTGTCACCATTCCACAGAGCTATGTGGTGAGCAAGTCTCTGAAGGAACTGCCCATATCCTGCCAGTGTATTAGGGAAGATAAGAGTTGATTTTGCCTTCACAATTTCCCTTCCGGCTTTCTTAAACAAAATTTGAGAACATTTCAAAAGTAGGGTAACACAGTGCACCCTCATATACCATCATCCAATTTCAACAATGATTAACTCACGGCCAATTCCTAGTATCACATCCGATCTGTGCTCATTTAATCCAGATATCCTGTCAAAATTTCCACAACATCCATCTGGATCCAAACAGGGTCCACTGTGGTTGGTTAACCCATCTGAAACGTTTTACACTCCTACCTTTGCCTCCACTCTTGCAGTTTTTAAAGAAACGAGTTCTGTAGTTTCCCCATCAGAATTTGCCTGTTGGGTCTCCTGCCAATATATCCCCCTTTACCTTTATTTCCTATAAAATGGTTATTTGATCTAGAGGCTCAGTTAACACAGGGTTTGGGCAGTGGTTAATCCAAACGGGTAATTATGTAATGTTGGGTCATAGTTTTAAAGCCAGGTCTCAATATTGACATTAAATACAACGCAGTAGCCTCATTTTGGGGGAAAATCCCTCGCTTTTTACCTGAGGGAATCCTTGAAAGTAAACAGCCTTTCCCTGTAATTTAACTGAGGCTTGGGTGCAGAGAACTCAGCCCTGGGATGGGACGCAGCTAGGGACTAAGTACCAGTGAGCTTATCCGGGCTGTGATCTGGTTTTCCGCCCTTCGGCGGTGGGGGAAGTTGCGCCCTGGGGCGGTGAAGAACTGAATGGGCAAGGTTCGCAAGGGTCGGCTGAACCCTGAGGCCGTGGGAAAGGACTGGGGGTGCTGGCCAGCCGGCTGACGCAAACTCCAGGGCCTGAGGCCCCGGACCACACCGGCGGACGCACGGAACGGAGCCGGGGGCTTCTGAGTTCAGAAAGCAGCGTGAGTCAGCAACGCTCACAAAACGGGTCCGTCCAGGCACGCAGTGGCAGATGCGCCCCGCGGGAGCACATAAAACCGAGCAAAGCTACATCCTTATCAGCCGCCCTTCTCGGGAGGCGCCCACCAGCCGGAGCTCCGGCGAAGCCTCGAGCCCTGATAACCCCCGCGCGCGCCTGTCCCGCCCCACCCCTCGCCTCCGGCTCTGCGCCTCCCAGAAGGCAGCGAGAACGGCACATGTGGCTCATCCCTCAGCCGAACAAGCGTCGCGCAGGCGCTGAGGGCAGCTCCGGCGCAGACTCTGAGCTGCGCTTGCGCACGGTTCGTCCGGGCCAGCTCAACCCACCCGTGGGTTCCGCGCACGCCGCTTCTGTCGTACGTCGCTGCTACGCATGCGCTTTGGGAATAGGGGCGAGCTTTCGGGGACGGGTAGGGGGCGGGTCTACGCCGAGGTCTCAAGGCGATTGCGCGTACGGGATTCCTGCTGGAACATGGCGACTTGCGCCGAGATCTTGCGGAGCGAGTTCCCGGAAATTGACGGACAGGTCTTCGACTACGTGACGGGTGAGCTGAACCGAATCAAGGGGCTGGGGAGGCCCAAGTGGAGCTCAGGGGGAAAGACTATGGGAGGGCAGTGCTGGGGACCGCTGCCAGGCCTCTTCTCCGCGTGACCTCTTGTCCCGAAGGCCGGTTGGGTCTGGAGCCCCGACTGGGGGCCGCGATTCAGGGACTGAAACTGCTTGTGTGTCCACCTTGCCCGGTGTCCTGCTCGTCCTGCCACGCCCGGCCCAGGCGTCCTGCACAGCGGCAGCGCGGATTTCGAGTCTGTGGATGACCTGGTGGAAGCTGTGGGGGAACTGTTGCAGGAGGTGTCCGGGGACAGCAAGGATGACGCGGGCATCAGGGCCGTGTGCCAGCGCATGTACAACACTCTGCGCCTGTACGTGTCGGGATCGGGGCGGCGGGGACTGCGGGGGCCGTGGGGCCTTTCCCTCAGTTCCTAACTCCGCACTTTCCATCCCTACCCACCTAGCGCCGAGCCACAGAGTCAAGGAAACAGCCAGGTGCGACTGGATACCCCCATCCAGTTGTCAAAGATAACGGAGAACTACGGTGAGCGTGAGGGGAAGTTGAACTTGTTGCTCCAGCCACCTGCCCCCTGCAGCTCGAGCTGCCAGACTTGTCTCTCACGAACTTGGTTGTACTGAGGCCAGCATGAAGGGAAAGGGCGTGGAGGGGTCTCCGCGCCTGGGTAGGGTAAGGAAGTCTGTGGCCTGGAGCAGCCTAACTTGATTTCACCTCCCAGCTTTGCAACTTACTAACCAACTGCTTGACCTTATCAGAAGAGTTGCTTGTGTGCCTATACCAGTGGGGTTTATTGTCTTGGGGGTGGGGAGGATGGTAGCCCCCATCCCCAGTATGGTAAGGCTTTTGTGTTTGTGTCCCTGGTTCATGTTAATCACTCCGAACCTTAGTCTCCCATCTTTCTGGGAGATGAGTGACTGCTTTTTTTTTTTTTTTTTTTGTATTGGTTACAGACTGTGACCCCAAACTTCCAGGACTGCTGAAGAGGGAGCAGTCCTCGGTGAGGAGGGGGGGAGGAGGGGCGGTGTCTGAGGTGGAGGTGGGGGTCGGCTGTTCTTGCCTTAGTCCTTGAGTCTGTTTGTCGCGGCTGAGCTGAAGTGCTCCTTCTGGGGGTCCCTGTTCTGAGCCTGCACCCTAGGGTGAAGTGGTTTTCTTTGGAACTTTAGACGGTAAACGCGAAGAAGCTGGAGAAGGCGGAGGCACGGCTGAAGGCGAAGCAGGAGAAGCGCTCAGAGAAGGATGCCCTCAAGACCTGCGGCCCTCCGTGAGTGCGGGGAGCAGAGCCAGCGCCACGGGGCGAGCGGTGGCTGGAGGCGCTGAACGTCCTGTTCTCTCCCTTCTAAGAGTCCTGGAAGAGGCGTCGGCCAGCCAGGCGGGCAGCAGGAAGGAGAGCCGGCTGGAGTCCTCCGGCAAGAACAAGTCCTACGACGTGCGGATCGAGAACTTCGACGTGTCTTTTGGTGATAGGTGAGGGGGATGGTAGTGAGGGTGGCATTCGTCTCCTTTTCCAATTACAGGAGACTTTGCAGAGGTGAAACGGAGCTACACACAGCGCCCCGAAACCAGCTGGTCTCCTTTCTACCACCCCTGCAGGGTACTGCTGGCTGGAGCCGACGTGAACCTGGCGTGGGGCCGCCGCTATGGGCTGGTGGGGCGGAATGGTCTGGGGAAGACAACCCTGCTGAAGATGCTGGCCACCCGGAGCCTGCGGGTTCCAGCCCACATTTCCCTGCTGCACGTAGAGCAGGAGGTTGCGGGAGACGACACCCCTGCCCTGCAGAGCGTGCTGGAGAGTGACAGCGTGCGGGAGGACCTGCTGCGGCGCGAGCAGGAGCTCAGCAGCCAGATCGCAGCTGGCAGGTGAGAGCCCCGGCAGTCACCTGGCCACGCAGAGCTCGGGACTTGCCACTTGCCACCACTGGATGGGACGCTGGTGTTTGTTCTTTTTTTTTTTTTTTTTTTTCTTTAGAGATTGATTCATTTTTTTGAGAAGCAGAGTTAGAGAGCAAGGAGGGCAGAGACAGATTTTCCAGCTGCTGGTTCATTCCCCGAATAGCCATAACAGGCAGGGCCAGGCCAGGCCAAAGCAGGAGCCTGGAACTCCATCTAGGTCTCCCAAGCACTTGGGCCATCTTCTGCTGCTTTCTCAGGCACATTAGCAGGGAGCTGGATCAGAAGTGGAGCAGCTAGAACTGGAATCGGCACTCATATGGGAGGCTGGTGTCACAGACAACAGCTTAACCCATTGTATCACAGTGCTGCCCTCTCCCCTTCCCTCCCAATGCTCTGTTCTTCCCAAAATGCTCTTGCCCCTGCTACTTTGTGCAGGTTCTTCCTGTCTTCTGTTCCTGTCCCGGCGACAAGGTGGCTAGTTGCCCGCCTTGCAGCTGTGCAGGGTGCAGGGGGACATCCTGCTGGACTGCCTACACTCAGGCCGATTGTTTCTTCCCCTCCCTTGCAGGGCGGAAGGCTCTGAAGCTGCACAGCTGGCAGAAATCTATGCTAAACTGGAAGAGATTGAGGCAGACAAGGCACCTGCCAGGTATTTAAAAGTTTCCCTGCCTTCCAGTTTGACTTTCCCCTTCTGTGAGTTGTTCCAGCGGGGTTCTCCGATGTCTTCACTTCTAGGGCATCGGTCATTCTTGCTGGGCTCGGCTTCACTCCTAAAATGCAGCAGCAGCCCACCCGGTGAGTGGCTCTTGCCATTCCTGACTCTTGAGCGCCGTTGGCCCTGCCCTGATGAACACCCACCCCTGACGTGGCTCTTTCTTTAGGGAGTTCTCGGGTGGCTGGAGGATGAGACTGGCCCTAGCCCGGGCCCTGTTTGCTAGGTGAGTCTCCTGGGCCCTGTGTATGGAGCCCTGTGGACGATGGGCCTTGGCTCTTTGAGAGGTGGCATTTGAGTCCCTGACCTGCATACGACCTTATGCCATGTGTTCTTTTTCCTAGGCCGGATCTTCTGCTGTTAGATGGTGAGCCTGAAATGGATGCTCCTGACTTTGGGATGAGGAAGGGTGGTAGCGTGCAGGTTCCTAGTTCTCTAGCCCCTCAGTCACAAGGGTGTGCTCCCCACTTCTTCTCCAGAACCCACAAACATGTTGGATGTGAGGGCCATCCTATGGCTGGAGAACTACTTGCAGGTGAGGGCCTCCAGACCCTGGTGTGGGTTCCGGGCAGGTGTGCTGGTGTGGGTTATGGGAACTGACTGCCCTCCCAAACTGGGCCTGCCATCCTGTAACCCCCTCAGACGTGGCCCTCCACAATCCTAGTCGTCTCCCACGACCGCAACTTCCTGAACGCCATCGCCACAGACATCATCCACCTGCACAGCCAGAGGTTAGACGGTTACCGCGGGGACTTCGAGACCTTCATCAAGAGCAAGCAGGAGCGGCTGCTCAACCAGCAGCGGGAGTACGAGGCCCAGCAGCAGTACCGCCAGCACATCCAGGTGTGTGGGGCTCCCACAGCGTGCATGTCAGGAGTTGGGGGTAGTGAGAGAGCCTGACCAGTGCCCGCGCTACTCCTACCTCCCTCCCCCACAGGTTTTCATTGATCGCTTTCGCTACAACGCCAACAGGGCCTCTCAAGTGCAGAGTAAACTCAAGATGCTGGAGAAGCTGTGAGTACGGTGTTCCCAGCTGGGCCCTGATCGTCATGTCCTTGTCTCTTCCCTCATTTTGCAAGCCAGCCCTCGCCCTCCCACACTAGGCCTCCGTTTGCCAGAAGCCACCTTTGCCTTCTCCTGCAGGAGAGCGGACGTTCTGTATTGCTCTTGCAGAGTTCATCTTGCCTGGGCAACCACGGATCTGCTTCCTGTCGCTGTTTGCTTACTCTGGACATTTCATTTAAACGGAGTCATAAACATATAGCCCTTTGTACCCGATTTCTTTCACTTAGCATCATGTTCTCAAAGTTCATCCATGTTGTGTTGTAGCATGGATTAGTACTTCATTTACTTTTTATGGCTAAATAATATTCCATGTGTGTGTAGGCACATTTCGTTCAGTAACTTATCAGGGGCTTGCCTCCATTTTGCTTATTATGAATAATGCCATTATGAACCTTTGTGTAAAAGTTTTTATGTGGACATATGCTTTTATTTGCTGGAGTGCATACCCACTAGTGGGTTTTCTGGATTACTTGGTAATTCTACATTTAGCTTTTTGAGGAAGGGTCAGAGTATTTTCTAAAGGAGCCGCAGTGGTTCACATTCCTTCCAGCAACGTAGGAAATCTCCAGTTTCTCCATATCCGTGCCGCTAACTGTTCTAGTGGATGAGAAGTGATAGTTTGTTGTGGCTTTGATTTGCACTTCCTTAATGACTAATGATATTGGGCGTCAGGGATTTAATCTTGAAGTGAATGGAGCTTAAAATCATAAGGCTGAGAGCTTTGTGACGGGGGAGTATACACGTGGTCCACCCTGAATGAGGACACTCATGTTTGGCAGAGTGCAGTGGACTAGAAAAACGTCCTTCTCCATGGGTTATGTGTGGTGGGAGCGTAAGCCTTTTCTGAGTTTTCTCTGTGCAGGTGCTGTTGTGCAAGAAGAACAGATATTTATTTTTAATCTTTTTAAGGATTTACTTATTTGAAAAGCTGAGTGACACGAGGCTAGCACTGTGGCACAGCAGGTTAAGCTGCAGCCTGCAGTACTAGCATCCCACATGGGCACCTGTTCGAGTCTCGGCTGCTCCACTTCCGATCCACCCCTCTGGGAAAGCAGCAGAGCTAAAGCACTTGGGCCACCCTCCGCTGCTTTCCCAGGCTCGTTAGCAGGGAGCTGGCTCAGAAACGGAACAGCTGGGACTCAAACCAGGGCTTTGATATAGAATGCCAGCAGCACAGGCTGCAGCTTAACCACTGTGCTGCAGCACTGGCCCCAGTGGTGGTTTTTAAAGTCGTAAGTTTGTGCACCCATCTCTCCCCTCAGACCGGAGCTGAAACCCGTGGACAAGGAGTCAGAGGTCGTGATGAAGTGAGTGCTGGGCCCGAGGGACCGGTGGGAAGCTCTTGTTCCCGGCCACCTCCACGGCCCTCACCCCCACCTCCTGCAGGTTTCCTGACGGGTTTGAAAAGTTCTCCCCGCCGATCCTGCAGCTAGATGAGGTGGATTTCTACTACGACCCTAAGCACGTCGTCTTCAGCCGTCTCTCCGTCTCTGCTGATCTCGAGTCCCGCATCTGTGTGGTACGTTTGCTGTGTCCCCGCCCCGTGAGCTGGAGCTCTGCTACCCCAGCCTTCGTCGGTACGGCTTGGCCCAGACCCGCAGGCCACAGAGGGAGGGTCTGTGTAGGGGTGGGAGAAGCCAGGGCCTGGGCTGAGGACTCCGTGTGTCGCTGTTGCCGGTGCCCTTCAGAGACGCTGAGCCTGGTCGTGCAGCACTTGATGGATTCTTAGAGCTGTACCTCCTCTTACTGCTCTCAGGTCTGAGTTCTTTAAACCGTGGGGCTTCAAGGGTGTGGCCTGGCCTTGAGGGTCAGACTGCGCATCCTGACTGCTGTTTCCTAGCTCAGTTACCAGGCAGCTCCCTCATCCTTAAATGGACATGACGTCTGCCTCGCTTGGTTGTTGGGAGCAGTCAGTCCCCAGCACTTAGCAGGTACTCGGGTATTGGTTCCCTTTCTGGCTTTACTTCGTTTCTGCACAGTTCCTTGAAACTGTGATGTTGCTTGTTGAGGCGGTCACTGGGACAGGCCGGGACACCGTCTCGCATCGGTCCCTTCTGTGGTGCGCACACGCGTACTCCAGCAGCTCGCGTTTCCGCAGGTTGGGGAGAATGGAGCTGGGAAGTCCACCATGCTGAAGCTGCTCATGGGGGACCTGGCACCCGTCCGAGGCATCAGACACGCTCACAGGTCAGCCTCCCTGCCCGCCTGCGGATGCTGCCTACAGACCTTCGTGGTCGTTGCTTTCCATGCCCTTTCGCCTTCATTTCTGTCTGTAGGAATCTGAAGATTGGTTATTTCAGCCAGCACCACGTGGAGCAGCTGGACCTGAACGTCAGTGCTGTGGAACTGCTGGCGCGCAAATTTCCAGGTGCGTTACGGACCTGAGTTGAGGCAAGACAGCCAGAGCAGGCCCTGCAGCGTGGCCTGCCTTGGGTGGATACAGAACAGCTACTCCTAGCCCCCCACAGACCCCAAGAGTAGATGTCAGGACGTGGGCACTTGTTTGTGTTTTTAAAGATTTATTTAGTTATATACTTGAAGGAGTGACAGGGAGGAGACAAATCTTCCTTCTGATGGTTCATTCCCCTCCCCAAATGACAGCAATAGCCAAGGCTGCACTAGGCTGAAGCCAGCAGTCAAGAATCCCATCCAGGTCTCCTGTGTGCGTGGCGAGGGCCCAAGTACTTGGGCCGCCGTCTGCTGCCTTCGCAGGTGCATTAGCAGGAAGCCAGAACCAGTGCTCCAGTACTGGATGCAGGTGTCCCAACAACAGCTTAACCCGTTGCCCCACAACACCCACCACCAGACGTGGGCAGGGCTGGAGGGTCAGGGAGGGAGCTGGGCCAAGAACCCACCCGATGGGGCCCCTTTTGCAGGGCGGCCTGAGGAGGAGTATCGCCACCAGCTGGGCCGGTACGGCATCTCTGGAGAACTGGCCATGCGCCCTGTTGCCAGCTTGTCTGGGGGCCAGAAGAGCCGGGTGGCCTTTGCGCAGATGACCATGCCCTGGTGAGGTCTCATTTTCCAGCGCTCTTGCCCTCCTGCTTCCTCTTCTTGTGCAGCAGGAAGCGGCCCTCTCCCCTCTGTACCCGAAGAGTTCATTCTCTCCTACCCCTTCAACCCCCCAACTGCACTCCTTGCCGGCTTCTGTCTTCCAGCCCCAACTTCTACATTCTGGACGAGCCCACCAACCACCTGGACATGGAGACGATCGAGGCTCTGGGCCGCGCGCTCAACAGCTTCAGGGTGAGTGTGCCTTTGCACTGACCGCTGCCCCAGGCCGCGGCGCCCCTTCTGTCCCCTGAGCACCTCCTGCTCTGCTGTCTTTCAGGGTGGCGTGATTCTGGTGTCCCACAACGAGCGCTTCATCCGGCTGGTGTGCCGGGAATTGTGGGTGTGCGAAGGAGGCGGCGTCACCCGGGTCGAAGGGGGGTTTGACCAGTACCGAGCCCTCCTCCAGGAACAGTTCCGCCGGGAGGGTTTCCTCTAGAGCCGCCAGGCTGAGGACCGTGCCCAGGACATGGACTGGTACCCCAGACCCCTGGGTCACCACCGAGGCAACCAACTCCAGGCCATGGACTTCCCCCAGTGGGGCAGCCTTACCCCCAAATCGCTCTCCTGTTGACTGGAGTGCCCGCCGTATGGCGTGGAGGACTGGTCTCCCTGGGGAAGGGTTGGGGCTGCCCTCTGGGGTTAGAGTTCCCCTGGTCCCTGCTCTGACCGGGCCCAGGTGGCTGCTATGTAAATTAAACCCCCCCTGGCATCTCCCTGGCCGCCTCTCTGCTGCTCCCTGGGCAGGCGCAGTGGTTGCCTGCTGCCGAGGGGTGGGCCCTCCGCTGGCGTTTTCCTGGGACCCTTGTTTTAGTTACACGGAGGAAGCCACAGCAGCACCAGCTGTGTCCCTGGGAGGAGCCATCAAGGCCGCCGGAGCATGGAGGGCGCCTGCCTGAGTCCGTGCAGTGGAGTGGAGTGGAGTGTGTGCCCATCACTGCCGTGCTGTTCCCTTCGCCTGGGCTCAGCCTCAGCCAGAAGGGTCTTGGGTTTGCTGTCCCAGACCCCGCTGCTGGGGAGTTTGAACTGCTTCTGGAACCTGGCCTCAGACCCACTCCGCCAGCTGCTTTCGCTGTGGTCTCTGGCCCTGGGCTCGTCCTGCTTCTCTAATCTGGACCCTCAGGGCTGAAGGGAAACATCTCTGTCCCCGTTTTGCTGGAGTGCTTTCCTGTTCGCCGGTAGGAGGGGCCGGGAAGTGGAGAGTGAGAACAGCCTCTGGTGGAAAGAAGTGGGGCACTCTGTTTTCCAATTCAGCAATCTGCGGGGAGAGGAGCGCTTAGCCGGAGCAGTGTGGTTTATAAATGGTATTTCTTGAGGGCCTAGCTGCTGTATGGAATTGTTGCACATAATTAAAATGGAGACATTGCTGTGCTCTTGGTGACAACAGGGAAAGCAGAGTCAGCAAAAGGAACTCGCTGGCTTTGTGGAGATTGTAGTCACAAGGCTTAGCCAAGGCCCCTGAGCCGTGAGCTGCGGGGGGTGCTGGGAGAACAGACAGGAAGGCTCTGTTGACTGATCAGGCAGCCAACGAGGGGATGGCTCCAGGTGGCAGGAGGGCTGCTGGGCTGCCTGCTGCTTTACCTCCCTCCCTCCAGAGTCCAAAGGACATATTCCTCCAGCTGTGTGTAGCCAGGTGCACCCCCGGCATTGCTGAGAAAACTCACAGCCCCTGTAATACCCTTCCAGCTTCAGACCTGCCCCGCTCATGGGCGATTCGGGAGCCCTCTGAGGTGCTGACCGTGCTGTGGCTCCTGAGCTCTCTCACCAGCTGTGCACTCTTGAGTGCTCGTGACTCCTCAGAGTCACTGGAAGTGCAGCTTCAGCGACACAGAATCTGCTTTCGAGTGTGAACACATGATTGGGTCCACACTCAGCTCTCGGCCTGACTATCAGTAATAAAAAGCCACTGATACTAGCTAAGTAACCATAACGAATGGCTTAACCTTTGAACACCTCCTACTCTGTTTGTTTTAGGATTTATTTATTTGGAAGGCAGACCTTCCATCTGCTGGTTCATTCCCCAAATACCCACAACAGGCAGAGCTGGGTCAGTCCAAAGCCAGGAATTCCATCTTTGTCTCCCACTTGTGTGGCATGCATGAGTGGCCCCAGAAGTAGACCACTGTGGACTCCCGGGAGGGACAACTTCCAATAGCTTCAGCTGCTTTCTGAAAGTGAGTTCCCATTCACTGGGACTGCAGCCCTTCAGGCCGTCTTGTGTGCCGGGTGGCGTGAGGCTGGCCTCCAGGTGGCCTTGCAAGTTCGTGAGTGCAGAGAGGAGTGTGAGGGACCTGCATCGGTGGTCGTCCGAACGTACGCTGCAGGACTGGAGAAAGGGAGGACTGAGCTGCAGGAGCTGAGGAACACCTGCCATTTGGGGTGAATGGGGGGGTGGCAGAAAAAACGCTTTGCCATCCGTCTCCTTGTCAGAAAGCACAGGACAAAGGAGAGGAATGAATCTAACCTGGGAGGGTGGGAAGTCACCCGTGGTCTCCAGGCTCGTGGCAGCCACCTCCTTCACTGGCTCATCCTTATCAGCTGCCAGGTCATCTCCACGGCTGCTGAGCCTGGAGCTGCTGTGTAGACTTGACCTTTAAGGCAGACAGGAGCTGGCCGGGTTGACAAACCGCTCACCAGCATTTCCTGGGCAAACCAGCGGGGCTCGGTGGGAGGCTGGCCACCTGTCTACAAGGTACTCAAAGACACCGGTCAGAATGTTCCTCAAAATGATGTTATTAGCTTGGCCACTTGCTGAGGACGTTTTGCTGAATTCTCACTGGCTTCTGGGCAAGATTCAGCCAGCACCATCAGCTCTGCTCTGCACTGGGCCTGGGCACGCCCCCTGGAGACCCAGCGGGCCAGCAGGGGGCGCCCAGGCTGTGGAGGTCCTCTAGGAGTCCCTGCATCTGGGCTGATGGACCCCCTCATTCCTACCCCCTCCAGCTGGGTGCCCCATAGTGCTGTCTTCCCTGTTAGGGGCTGTGCATCTTCATTAACACTGTAGTTCCCACTTACGTTGTCCTTGGAGGCCACCCCGTGGCTTGCTCAAGTCTGCATCTGAAGTACCTGGCACAGGTTCAGTTGTCTAGGAGGGAGGCAGTGTGGACAGGTCAGGATGCAGAGTCAGAGGGTGCAAGGAGAGGCTGAGCAGCAATCCAGGCCCTGGGAGAGCCTCCGGCTGGGATCACACTAGAGTGGGCCTGAGTGGAGGCAGTGGCTCAGGCCACCGCTCCTGGGATTTTCAGCCTTTTGAAACCTTTTGCTGAGCCTGTGCACCTGAGGGCGGCAGCATGGCTGGCACATTGTCCACAACACTGCCCAGCACGTACTGAGTGCTCAGAGACATCTCACAGGAGTCTCGTCCCCATCATGTAGGAGAGGGCATTCAGGGGGCTGGGGCTGTGGCATAGCAGCCTGTGTGGACGCCAGTTGGAGTCCTGGCTGCTCCACTTCCCACCCAGCTCGCTGCTAATGTGCCTGGGAAAGCAGTGGAAGATGGTGCAAATGTTTGGGCTCCTGCACCCATGTGGGAGACCCAGTTGGAGCTCTTGCTTCCTGGCTTCAGCCTGGCAGTTATGGCTATTTGGGGAGTGAACCAGCGGATGGAAGATCTCTGCCTCCCCGCACCCCTTCCCATCCCAACTCTTCCTTTCAAATAAGCAAATCTTTAAAGAAAAGAAAAATTCTGGGCATTAACAGGTGGGTGGCAGGGCCAGGGTTCAAGTTCAGTCTGGCCCTACTACACAGCTCTTAATGGCCACATTGTAGCCATGACTTGTTAATGCCTTCACTTAAGGACTGGTGGTTAATTACATGAGCAGGGGATTTGAACAAGCCTCTCGGGAGAGCAAGCTGGGGAGTAGGAGTTCCTGGCACAGCTGCTGGTGCTGCCAGGTGCTCTGTGAGCTGTTCACTGAGTAAAGGATGCCAGATGCATTGGGGAGTGACAAAGTCCCGCACTGCGGTTAGCCCGCCTCTTACTGATGGCCTGGGCAACTCAGCCTCTCCTGAGTGGATGAGCCACATCCATAAACTGTCCACAAGGGTTTGCCTCGCCTGCTTCACCCACGCGCGCACACACACACACACACACATGGTTGATTGAAACAAAGAGTGGTTGATGAATGAATTGCTCAGCGCTAAGAGGCAGCAAGGATTCCAAGCACTCACCTGCCCTGGGGTGTTGTGAAAGACTGGGCGAGAGAGAGAATTGTGTGAACTTAAACATTCTGTGAGCTGTGGAGTCCCATGGACCCAGAAAGTATTAAGTCATGTGAGGAGCGGTGGGGTAGCAGCCTGGAGCCCCTCTGGAAGCGTACAGACCCACCAGTGCACAGACAGCTGCAGCCTCCCCCAGCCCTCCGGCACAGGCTCCGCTCAGGATATGCATGGGGTGGGCAGGAATCATGCAGCTTATAGGTCACCCCCTGCCAGTAAGTCTTGGCCTCTCTTCTTGATGTAAAATAAAAGGAGGGAGGGGTGCTGTGGCATAGCTGGTAAAGCTGCTGCATTCGGCACCCGCATCCCCTATGGGCGCCGGTTTGAGTCCTGGCTGCTCCACTTCCGATCCAGCTCTCTGCTGTGGCCTGGGAAAGCAGTGGAAGATGGCCCAGTCCTTGGGCTCCTGCCCCCGAGTGGGAGACCCAGAAGAGGCTCCTGGCTCCTGGCTCCTGGCTCTGGCCTGGGCAAGCCCCAGCCGTTGCAGCCATTTGGGGAGAGAACCAGTGGATGGAAGACCTTTCTCCCTCTTTGTAATTCTACCTTTCAAATAAATCTTTAAAAACAAGGGGTCAGTGCTGTGGTGTAGTGGGTAAAGCCATTGCTTGCAGTGCCAGCATCCCATATGGTCACCAGTTCGAGTCCCGGCTGCTCCACTTCCGGTCCAGCTCTCTGCTATGGCCTGGGAAAGCAGTAGGAGATGGCCAAAGTCTTTGGTCCCCTGCACCTGCTTGGGAGACCCGGAGGAGGCTCCTGGCTCCTGGCTTCAGAACGCCACAGGTCTGGCTGTTGCAGTCATCTAGGGAGAAATCCAGGTTGACCATTGCCAGCTTCGTCCTGCAGCTGCTCGTACTGTGGGTGACATTCTCATGGCACGTGTGTCCAGGAGCGCATCCAGGGGCATGCGCCCTCTGCCCTTTCAGAGAAGTGCTTTGTTGTTTTTCCATTCACTTGAAATGCAGAGGGACAGATCTTCCATCCACTGTTTCACTCTCCAAAGGCCCACAACAGCTGGGGCTGGACCATGCTGAAGCCACTGTACTGGGGGTACTTAAACAGAAATATGTGACCGAGGCTTTAGCAGGAACTGGGATTTATTTTCATGCCGGCGTGAGGCTCCACTGGATTCATAACCAAAAAAGCCTGAGCCCTGAACAAAGAGGGGCACTCCTTATATACCTTTCAGCCCCTTTGTCTCCCTTACATGGCTACATACACTTCCACTGGGTGTTCTAATGCCACGTGGCAGCTCTAGGGATCGCTATAAGGTTGTGCATGCACACAGTTACTGATGATGGTAACTAGTTTCCCTTAATAGGTTTAATATTTTCCCCGGTGCATAGGTGCATAGTGAACGATGCCCTGAGTGGCTAACGCTGGTTAACACTGTAGCACTGTGCTGACAGGCAGATGCTGCAACTCACAGGCAAGTTGATACTGCCACATTCCTTTCCCAAGATAAGCCCTTCTTTCTCTATTTTAGGAAGGCCCCTATCATGCCAGGAGCCTGGGCTCTCCCATGTGGGTGGCAGAGACTCAAGTACTGCAGTCATTACCCCCTGCCTCCCAAGGTGTGCAGTAGCAGGAAGCTGGAGTCGGGAGTGGGGCCAGGACAAAGCCTGGGCACTCCGATACGGTGTCCTAAGCAGGACCTTTCCCACTATGTCAAATGCCTGCCCCTAAACAAGTATCTTCAACCTAGAAGGAGGGAGAGTGACTGTGAGACTGGTTTGTTCACCTACAGATCAGGGAGCCCATCCTGGGGTTGGAGAGAACTGTATTTGAGTCTGGATTCTAGTCTCTAATAGCTGTGTGACCTTGGCACATGAAACCTCTCTGCACCTGTTTCCTGTTCTGTAAACGGAATGAAAAAGGTCCCCGTGCTGGAGAGTCATGGTGGAGCTTACACGTGCTGGGACGAGCAAGACTCTCCTGATGGCTTCTAGCAGTTTGCCCGTGCTGGCCATTGTGAGGGTTAGCATCCGCTCTGCTGATTTTTATGAGCTATTGTTTGTGGTGCTCCGTGGCTGGGAGCCACTGTCTGCTCATCGTGACTCAGCCAGGTGAGCAGGGATCCGTGCCTCCCACTTTCTGTGCTTTGGCCCAGGAAGGGCCCTGCCTTGGATTCCTCTCCCACTGCAAGATGTTTTCTT